AATCCGATAAAAACGGAGCACGGTCTCCGCCCATATGGTGAGCGCGCCGTGTGATTTTAAGGCTGCGGACAGTTTTTACTTGTTTTGTTTCATGACTGATGGACTAATTACAATGCCGGCGCGTAAATAGCAAAAAAAATAGTTTTTTTATTACTCGTTATGGGAAAATTCCCAACAGTTGCGCTATTATATACTCTATACGTCTGATTGTGAGATATATTCGAGATATATTACAAGAAAAAAAAATTAAAGATACCCTCCTTTCAAAAAGCGAGAAAGTGTCGGGTGCAGACCATGCACCACAAGTGACGACGGCCTTCACAAAATGTTAATGTTTTCTGCCAATGAAATGATTAGCCTGTTGCAGTTGTATTCTATCAGTTGTCACTAATTACAACTATCATTTACCAAAATCAGCTATCACTATGAACAACTTCTAACCAGATTTACTTGGAGGCCGTCGTCAGTTGTGGTGTTTGGTCTGCACCCGACACTTTCTCGCTTTTTGAAGGGGAGGCTAGATAGGCAAGATATCAGATAATATGTCATTGAAGTAATTTTCCAAACAATCCAGTAGGAGGATGCAAGTTCACAAGACGAAGGAAATTCGCCTCAAAGTAGATAAGAGGTTAAATTGGCAATATTTCGAAGTATGGAATAACTTGTATCACCTGCCTTCCCTTGCTCATCGAATTGCTCGGGCGGGCGCCAGCAACGTCTTTAATCGTGCCTGTCGCGTGCCAGAGTACTCCAGCAAATTCTTCGTGCTCAAGGGACGGAGCATTGTATTCTTCGTGAAAGGCTTTCATAAGGAAGCCAGACCAACAACTAGGCGGCGGTTTTGCTTGACGTTCGAGAGATTCATCAGTTACGGCCCAGTCCACCAGTGATCACAAATCCAGTCATTGAATAACCTTCCGGAGTGCGATCTTCGTTTCCTTGGTGTGTGTAGTATGGGTAAAAATTCGTATTTTATGGATCTTATGTGTAGGCGCTGCAGGCTTTCCGAGCCTATAATACCCTCGCTTTTAATCCGCTCGTTTTTGCTCCTGATAATTTTCACAATGGAAGCGGGTTTGCTATATATACGCCCCCGCAAAAGCACATACTGCTGAATTGTGATGCTCTGAGAAATATAATCGTATAATCGTAATCATAATCGTATAATCAAGTATAAAATAAGCCCGGCAAAAAATTAAATGTCACATTATTTCATAGGAGCTCACAAAATAATTTTTCGTTCAGCCGTGTATAAGTAATCGATTCTTGGCTTATTACGGCCTTTTAATCACCAGTTACTCTGCAGTTTTTTGCAACGATCTTCCAAAATTTAGACTCCTTCCCAGGCAATTTCTGACTGTATCGTCGTAGAATGCCGCAGAAGCGACCAATTATGAGAATTTGAAAGATGTGAAGTACATCATTTTTAGGCGCTATCGCAAAACAAGGGCATTGCAGTGGCAGTGCACATAAAACTGCGTAAACATTTTCATATTGTTAGGAACGGAACTAAGCCTTGAACAGTTTTGGAGAGACTAAAAAGGCCAAGGGGTGCACGAGTCACCTTCACTCCCCTAAATTTCCTGCCTGCCTTTTAGGCTATGGTAGTTTAGGAGGACGCTACCGTATTCTGTGCGAGCAGCGCCTTTTCCTTTTGGGATTGAAACAAAGCGAAACGAAGTGGTTCGGCAAAGGCCTGGTTGCAACAGAAGATAATTTTCATCATTAGTCTATGTTAGTTTTTGATGGTTTCTGAGGAACTGAATGAGTCCCGTTCCTCGGAGCCTAGTATCAGCACTCCTCCGTAATTCAGAAAAACCGTGTTGAAGTCGAAGGGATGGTGGAGGGCGTTTGCTGCCTTGATACTGATTCGAACGTCATTGGGGAGACAGGTGCGTCGGCTTTAAGAGGCAGTATCTAACCAACATCGCTCCCCCTCTGCCGTCCCATGCCCACCCCATTCTGTAAGGGTCTAGATTTGCTTCCCGGTTCTCCTGTTCTTTAAAGCAGAAGACACCAAAAACTCATTCAAGCCAAAGTACAAATATTTGAGTGAATTTCTTGAGATTCGCAACATGAAATTCATTAGAGGGAAAAAGAAACGTAGAATCGAGGCAAATAAAATCCAACACTACCTTAGTGCCTGCTGAATCTATTATATTATAGGTTAATGTCAAAACATTTGCATCAGAGGGTTTCCAGTGCTTTTATTTCAGGGCACTCGCTTTTCTAGATCGTTATTCAGGATGGCTCAAAAATGAGATGCGGTGACCTCCCAAGCCTTGAATTTTCAATTTTCAATTTTCTTTTTTTTCTTTTTCTTTCTTTCCTAAGTTTCATATAGTACGTCAAAAGTCCTCTTCTGCCCCGCATACATTTATACGGTATTCCTGTTCAGACTGTACTGTTATAATAGAGAACTAGAGATAAATGCACTTTAATCCATTTCAATATAGGCAGGGTTTGAACCCTGCTCGTACAAGAGCACTAGCCACGCCTCTTATCACTGCTCTACATGCATGCTAACTTGTTGACAAACGTAATTAGCTGGTGAGTGGCCACACAGTGATTACTTTATTTAACAAACGAGTCTAATTTCCATTTGCAACATTTATGCAGAAGCTGAAAGGTTTATTAACCCATTCGCGACCGCGGGGATTGCGCAATAGCAGCAGAGTCAGGAGATTTTTCTTCAATAAAATTTGAGTGGATGGAGATTTCCTCTGCCCAGGGCTGGCGTAGATGAATGAGGGTATGAAGATTCTTTTCAGGAAAGAAAACTTTCCAAATTCCATTTGAAACACGGCAGCCACCGGTGGATACCATTGTCCCTCGAGTGAGATCTTTGGCAGCCACCGGTGGCTGCCATTGTCACGAATGGGTTAAATGAGATTTCAAGCAAGCCAGTAAGAGCATCACAGATCAGGGCACAGTTCCCTCAAGGCCATGTTTCTTCTGATCATTTTTCTCAACATCTGCTAGGGATTCTTCTGAACTTTTTGAATCAGAAACACATCTAAAATTGTAAATTAATTGAGTACTCAATGAAGTGGTAAGTTGCTATGCAGTATGACTCACACCGCACTGCGAAACACAACCAATGCTTACGTAGCTTTGCATTGTAGTAATTGTTATGCTATCCATACTTATTTGTTATATTATACAGTATAGTCAGCAGTACAGTACGCAATTATATTTTCATTTTTTCGTTATGTTTCATTTTTCATTTGATTTTTAATTTCCCTGATATTACAAAAAGGATTGCTTTAGTCACTCAACAAACCGCTGAAGTGATTTTAATGTGTGATCCACGTTTAAAATCAGGGTTTCAGATGATTTGGAAACATAGGTTGGGGGAAGTCGAACTCACTTCAATAATCTAGTTTTTTACGGTATTGAAATTTCCTCACAACAAACAGTTCGTTACTGTGGACAATTATATTTACCGTATCTACACAAAATATTATGAATCCCCAGCGAAATCTATGGAGAGCTAATGGTCGGAAGTAAATCGCGGGAGCAACCGAGTTGCTGTAACTAGGCAACTCGTGCTCGATGGTCGACCTCAGAGCGGCTGGGCTGACCTCAGGTGGAGTGTTAAGGTGTACGATCCTCATTATTCACTCAGGCGCGGCTTATCGGGGTTTCAAAGTGAGCGATTGATTTGGCTTTTACAAAAAAAAAACAATGGCAAAACTCTGGCAAAGAACAGCGAAATTGATGGAGGGGAGTTGTGAGCTGAGGGTCGACTCCTTTTTGAGGGAAGTTCATTCTCTCCCAATTCACCGATTTGAAATGGTACGGTGTCAACTCTTTAGTCACTGGAGGATCAGGACAGGGAGAGAAGTAGTATGAGACTGAGCAGAGCCTGTCAGGGTTTATCACAGCATTTCTGCAGTAGTACTAGTAATCGGCCAACCTAAAGGTTCAACTACTGAATTTCATGGCAAGTGGCTTGAAATGAATGGGAATACCCAGAGTTCCAATATGAGTAGCTTTTTTTCAACCTAGCGAGGCAAACCTTTTGTTGAGAAGCAATAGGTAACCTCGGGTTCAATTTTGTAATAGTAAATTTCACTGGGAAATAGCTTTTTGCTTCTTATTGGCTGTAGGTAGTTTTAGACGTCATGCTACTTTTTTCGGGCTGATGTATGATGTGTTGCGAATTCCGGCAGACCAAAGTACACGTTCATGAAAGCGTGCAGAAGCCATTCGTCTGGCATTTCATGCTCTAGCTGACCATTGCTGTCTGTGTATGCGTATTGCGGGGGATGATGAGCATGAGCATGAGCATGAGTATGAGTTTCGTGGCGAGGGGATCGAAGAGGTCGTCTTTCGAGGTTGTGGGAGACGGTGGGCGGTGCTTAGAGCAACCCTCACTGTAAAGCCGCGGGCTTCCGGGCAAGCGCGCGCCAGTCTGTATCGATCCTACCCCTGAGGACAGAAGCACCCTCCTGACCCTACTAAATCCATTTGGAAAAGCACGAATCCGTCTCAGAGTTCCCACTACTGCTTTACCATAATTCGTCCCGGGTTCACTGATCAGGACAGGCGAGAATGGTGGAAATCGCTGAGATGCCATCCATAATCGTTGACGAACCGTCCACATGTCCACAATGCCCGAAAACCTTCGCCAATGTCCGGCTATTGCAACAACATCAACAAATGTTCCATTCGGACAAGGTACGTGGCTACTTTTACACTTACTGATTACTGTGTTGTCGCTTTATGATTATTCACCTACACAATTACACGCATAATTGGATGTGTGTATGCGTACTTGTGTGTATGTCTGTCTATCTGTGTGTGTCTGTGAGTGTGCTTCATTTACTGCTTGCGATTTCACGAGACACACACACATGAATTGCTGTGCTTTGAGCTCTTATAAATCGTCACGTCTCATTTCATTTCGATTGCACACAACACACAAAATTGTGCATTATTGCGTCTTCTCATCTCAGCTTGCCACGTCACTTTTCATCTTTATATGCTAAGCTATATGGTGAGCTTCACATACTGTACTAATTATCTATTGTATTCGGGCTCTATCCTTCTTCATTTCTCTTCGATCCCATTCTTAAGCCCTATTATTGTTTACAATGCCACCTGACCTTAAGTCGACAGTACAGCCTGTGGCAAGCCAGCTGTCACTGAACAGATGCTCGGCTCTCGGAACGCCTGCATAATTTGACGAGGGCGCACTGTTTCTCGTCCGAATACATGGCCAGTCCTCTCATAGCATAACAGCGTTCGATCTGAACCCGGGCCAGACTAACCTAAGCATTTCTCGAGCTTCACTACTGACTAGGTCGAGCTTACTCATCAGTCAGTACCATTCGCAATCTCTGGCAATTCGGGCATTTGCCTTACTGGTAAACATGGTATGATGTAAGCTGCGTGAGCGTAGTGGGTGGCAAATCGAATTCGACTTGACTGGACGGCATCCCCGGGTTGTCGTCATTACAATAGCCGCGGCTAGGTTTAACAGCGTGACAGACCGGGGGGAGAGAAACAACGATACGAACAGCTGCTTATCCATCCACCACCTATTCTCGGGCAAACAGACTCGCCAACTATCCGCCAAGAAGTGGCACGTATCAACGAGTCGAACAGTCTTGTGCAGTTGGCAGCTGTGCGCGTACGTGGGGGGTGAACGGGGATGAATGTGAGGGTTCAACGGATTGGAGGCACAGTGTGTGTGAGGTGTGAGGTGAGAAGAGAGCTGCGATAACGCGCGTATTATCGGTAGCACCTCTCTCTCTACCACCACCGTACTTCCGATAATTGCAAGCCGACTGGCCATCTGTCAGTTCGCGTCGCCGCGCATGTAAAATTGATCCCGACGCGCGTCGAGAGGGCAAATGCAGGAAGAGGAGAGACAGGCTGAAGAGAACATGGTACTGCAAAACAAAACCCAACCCCATCAACCCAAATGCTGGTTTCTCAGATTCCTCACAAACGATTTTTAAGCCGCCCCGCGATTACGGTATCATGACCGCTCAACGGCTCGGTCGACTTGAACACGCCCCGCTAATGTACACAAACTCACGGTGACACATACGCGCATGCACTTACACACACACACATTGACAACATTGCAGAAGTCTGCAAAATTGCGTCACCTAATTAATCACCCATTTCAGTCGTTCATTTGTGAAATATGTGGCAAAGCGTTTCGGTTTCGATCGAACCTGGCTGAACATCGGTCTGTACATACAGCATTGAAACCCTATGTTTGTAAGTATTGTGGGAAAAGCAGTCGACTGAAAGGTACATTTTCGGCTTGCTACAGTTAAAAGGCTAAATTTCAAGTCCTAATTTTTAGGTAATCTCACAAAACACATTTTGAAACATCATAAAAAAGAGCAGAATGAACAAATTGGGAAGGACGATATCATCATTAAAAAGGTGTGTCCAAAGATCACTATTATTATGATTGCCTGAATGAACGGCGGGACCTGTTCATTTCGCGACGGGACTCGTTTAGGGTAAAAAATCGGTTAAGGACCCGGCGGCTGTCGACTTCCTCGAGAAATCTATGATCGTAATGGCTCAAAACACCACGGCTGAAGGTACCACTCCATGTTTACTACCGAAGGAGGAGACCAACGATCAGGAAAGGTGAGCTATTCAGGGAGATGAGATGATCTTTTAGTACGAGATTTTCTTTAAAAAAATGAAATTTTTGTGAAATTGTTGATTTTTTGCTTTTTTGCATTTTTTCTGCAGTTTATTACGTTTATTCAAATTTGTGCTGATTTATAGTTATTTGTAGTGTTTCTTCTGAGCCCATGCCTTCTGTTAAGGTCTATATTGATATCATTGGGCCTTGACTACAGTCATTCGTTGGACCTTCGAGACAGCCCTGAAGCGAGCGCTAGCCCCGAAAACGGTAAGGAATCACTTTCTTCTTTCGAAATTGGCATGTGATACAATAGCAATTACTATTTCGAGCTAAAGAGGGTGTTGATTCTATTTCGTATCAGCAATTCTGGTGTTCACACAGTCGACTTTGGCCGATTCAAGGCAGTTGTTTTCCCGAATAGTGGGTGGATTTTTGTGTAGGGCGGTAATCGTTAGGGAAGTGAGGGATCTGTGTATGTGAGGGGAGACGAGGCGAGACGAGAGAACGCCGAGCGAAGCCCTACGGGTAGCCGAATACACCATCCTCATGAGGAGGGATAGACAGGCACATCGACTCGGCCTGTTTTCGCTTACACAGTAATCGCGGGCTTTCCTCAACGGACCGTGGGCTTTTATTGAGGAGTTATTGATCTTGGCCTGTTTGGAAAGCATTTTTCTCAGTTTAGTAAACAGAAAACTGACTGGATTAGCCCCCTAAATCCCTAATCGTCTGTGAAATCACTTGTCCTGCCTTCAAGATTCAGGCGTTCGTCAGAGCTTCTCTCGTTTCAGGCACGTACAGTTCTGTGAAACCGGAATACATCGAAGACCAGCCGTACGGTAGCCCGCTTCCTGCGAATACGGTAAGTGGGCGAGAGGCCGATTGCTATGAAACACAACACGGAGATATTGATCAAAACTGAAAGTTTAGTTGAGAAATCGTGTGTGTATGAGTGTGTTTCAGGTTGGTGGCGAGACATCGTTGGCTGCTCTCATCGCTTCAGTGGGCACGCCTCCTCATGCTACAAACAACAAAACTCAATGCTCTGAATGTGGCAAACATTTCCGCAAAAGTAAGCAGTCATAAGTCCGTCGCTGATATTTTCGGAAATTGACTCACGTGTGCAACATCCCGCGACCATCCTCCTTCAACGGGGCTTCCCCCCCCGTCCGTGCCGCCGTGTTATTCTGTTATTCGTCAAGGCGCATACGGTCAATACTTTCACCATGCGAAATTTATTTCTGAATAGAGAAGACTTTCGAGTTATGCCGTGGTGCGCGCCGAATGGCATACATATATTCAGGGCCCTGTCAATAGTCACTGCACGCCTCACGGGATATAGGCAGATGCACTAGCGATCCTCGGTCTCATACTACACACTACTATAGAGTAACCATACATTGAAATGGGGTCGATGCCGACCCTCCCAACTCCAGTCCCAGCGATCCTCGGTTCCGTATTATACACTACTATAGAGTACCCATACATTAAAAGGATGTCGATGCTGAAACTCCTGACTCCAGACCCAAAGTCTCACTACTTCTGTCAAAGGCATCAGCTAATTTGTAGCGCTGTCTGTTAGCTCTCGTAAATGCACACTATTACAGCACCTCTGCTATCTTCCATTTTCCTTGAAAGTTCAAAAGGTAAGCCTTAGTACTATACGAGACGTGCGCTTTCCCACCTAACTCTCTCACCCTTTGGTTGAACAAGGCCTTGTAAGCCACTCCCGATGCCTAGCTTGTCATGTACCTGGACCCGCTGAAACTTTTCGATAGCAAGAGGCAGTACGGGATTGTGGCCCCGGGGTAATGGCTGTCTCGTGGGCAGTCAGTCTGATTGCGGGTGGCAGCGTAGTCCGTCGGGGTGACAGTGGCGATTGACGATAGATCCAAGCCGGCCGGCGGCAGACGGAGATGCGCATTCGATGGTCCGACCAGCCCACGCCCCGGGGCCGCCCGTTCGCGTATGTATGTGTGTATGCGTGTGTGTGTATGCGTGTGTGTATGTGTGTGTGTGTGTGTGTGAGTGCGGCTGCGTTCGGCACCTTGGCATGGTCTCGCGGGACCCCGAGGCTGCATATTGATCGTACAACGAATGCAAGCCGCATGCAATACGTCGGTGTCAGTTTATACGACGACGACGACGACGATATGTGAGTGTGTTGGTGCGAGCGCTCAGACAGAACTCCTCCGATGAGACCCCTGAGGGCTTTCCAAACATGAGCAAATGTTCGCCGATGAGAGACCATAGAGCTAAGCTGTATAACGCGCGCTATCTACCTCAACAACTGCCACGGTACTTTCCACCAAGGGACCATCAAATCTCGCTCTTGTCGTCAGCAGAGTAGGGATATAGGGCCAAAAATTCTGAGTGAAAACCTTCAGGGTGAGCTGAGAAGTGCGTCGCCTGCCGCTGCTTGTTCATATCATCCATACCAACATTACGGTGCCAGTGTAAAACAATTGAGCCAGGAAAATCTCCCCTTGCCGCTGACCGCAGCTGTTGGACGAGATAATCGTAAGACAAATGCTGTGCTTTGGATTCCTGTACGCCATCACGGCACCTTCCTAAACCCGAAGGCAGATACTAATAGCTGAGAGCCATTTCTGCCGGAGACCGCCTACTTGGGCGACTTTTTTGTAGACAAAGGTTTTTCCACGAAAATCGGAAGTTCGCGAAAATTAGATTGGTGGCGATTTCGGTGGTGAAGAAGGGGGAGGGGAGGGGAAGTATTCGGTGTGTGCCGCTGGCTGCCGGCCGCTGCCACCCAGTAGTGGCTCCAAGAGGAATCTGCGAACCAACTATTCAATGGCGCGCAATTACTGAGAATGGTGCTCGAGCGTTATTGTGAGAGTCGAAGCAGCAAGCGTTTGTTGGCGTCCACCCTGAAATATTCGCTCTATAGAGGCACCGATTTTCCTAGTACCGCCGCCAGTCCATTAGTTCCTCGTGTGGAATATGTGATTACGTGAAGATTCAGAACTAAGAGACTTTGGTGGTTCAAAAACAAGCAGAGAATGACATCGCCTAGTGCAAAATGGTAAACGCTTTCCATGTGCGGCTAGCAGTCAGCTGGCATTCTCTAGGATTAAGAACCTTCGCGAGAAACTTTCGGCCGATGGGGAGGAGTCTTCCAAAATATGCTACTTCAACTCGTTCGTCCAAGGTGGCTTAATTGGGTGGTGCAGATCGATGAGGGGCAGCACGGGGGCCCAGGAGGACCGTACTCCGGAAGCGTCGCCATTAGCGGCCCTTATACAGCCGTTGCGCGGATAAGCAAATTGTAGAGACGGCGAGGGACGGCCGGCGAACGGGGGGAACAGCTGCTGAATCGAAATCAACGACAGCCTGACTGACTGACTGGCTGCCTGACTGTTTTGGCTGCCGCCTGCCTACAACCGCAACCCAACAACAGTCCGCAAATACTCATTAAGCTAATGGAGATTGCAGTAGGGCATCAGGCTACGTAAGAGCGTTTCGCTTGTAGAATTAACAAGGATTGAATAGAACAACGCTTGTTCCCATCACCGCTTACAGTAATCAATCAATAATCGACAATCTGCCCATTTTTTGAGATTTTTTGGGTGATATAAACGCAAGTGGTCGGCTATTACTGAATCGAAGAGAATCATGGGAAAAGGGAGTCGGTCGATGAGAGCTGGCCGCCACGAACGGGAACTATTACCATTGAGGTTGCGTTTATACGATATTTATGCACACTGGAGAGCCTTCAAAACGTTGTGTCCCTTCATAAGTAAAGCGCTTCAAAATGTGCTAAGCCCTTATTTTATGACTAACGAGATATTGAGTGTTTTTTTCAGGTTGGGACAAGATACGGGTTATGTGTACAACTTCACCCTTCTCAAATTTTTCACTAAATTTTTGAAGTTTTGTGCCCTTTCCAGCACAATTTCCTTCCCTACTTTACTTACTACTTTCCTTGCCTGACCTTTCCTGGCCTGACCAAGCTGGCGGCGGTCTCATGCTCGCTGTGCTTTTCTGGGCTGTGCTATCCTTTCCAACTAGCTGCCCTTGGCTAGGTTTTTATGGAGGATGTGAGGTACAAGCGAAAATGGTGGTGCGCTCCTTTTTCAGGTTCATATTCGGGTACGATGTATACATTTTCCAAACAAGTAAGTAAGCTGTTGATGCAGTTACCAGATATGTATTTGCCCACATAGCCCACAGGCGCACACATCATCAGACCAGCTGACGGGCGCTATATCCATCTGTTGACTTGAAGTAGTAAAGAGCACTTAATAACCGTATTGAAGGCGATCATCATGACCATTTCATGACAGTTCCTAATGGATCAATAGAGCACGAAATCCTTACATTACATCGAGGTCAAACATTACTGTAAGAAGCTCCTTGATATTATCCTTTCAGTCAGCAGAAGAATTTCCCCTAGCAGTTTTATCTGTCTAAGTAGTGAATGGTACTGTCACAAACGTGTAGAATTGACGAAAACGAATTCTTAGTTTCCATAAATAATTGTTCGAATGATTACTGGTTTACGCCATGCGCTTCTTGCTCCTCAAAGATCGCAGAGACGATTGATTATGATCGTTGAGTGTCCTATGATGATTGATATTGTTCGGGTTTGCAAAGCTACCCTCATCAGAATAGCAGTCTTATAAAGAGATAATTGATTTTAAACTACTATGAATATCTGCTAACTTCTAAAAATCAAAGCTAGATATAGCACAGTAGTGCTGCTCAGTGTATTGGCTTACGCCATATACTTCTGGTTCTTCGAGGATAGCAGAGACGATTGATTAGGATCGTTGAGTGTACTATGATTAGCGCACTTCATACCAGGGTGGGTCCTATCGTTGCTACTTTTCAAAAAGTTTTTACGACCCCCCTCCCTCATGAAATGTTTTTCATACGACCCCCTCTTTCAAAACAATTTTTACCCCAACTAAATTACCGTCGAGCGGGGAGGGGGTATATACTTACCGTGAAACCGCAAAAATTCCCTACATTTCCCT